TGAGAGGAGATAACAGGGAATAACTGTGATACTAAGAGTTACAGTACAGGACAGGAGAGGAGACACAGTGAGAAGAGATAGCACGAAAATAGAGCAGGTGATACAGACAGCTACGGTACAGGACAGGAGACGTGTGAGAGGAGATGGAGATAACAGGGAAATAGAGCAGGTGATAAAGTTACTATACAGGGCCGGGAACAGGAAATAAGGAAATACAGTAAAGTATGTGATAGAGGTGAATGAAAGAAAGGTTTAAATAAACTACCATTTTACCCAAATAAAATGTATGTTTTGAATGATCATTTACAATGGATTGACTTTATAACCAGCTGATCAGAAGTCCCATATTACCCTGCAAGAAACAGTAAAAATCCACACCATGCAGTGTCCTCACCAACTTTAATCGCAAACCCTTGCCAGTACTCTGGACAAGAACCCACCTTATTTTTCTAGAGGACAAAACAAAAAGGAAAAATACAAAATTAAAAGAAGATCTCAGAAGAACAAGACACCAATGTTTATCACAGTTACTCAGAGAGAGACTACGTCCATACATGGTCACAGCATGACGCGCACGCTCGTCTGAGTCAGGCCCTGCATGACGGTATCGTGTCCAGCTGCTCATTCCAGCACAGCTGGACACTGGACACAGGGCCCACGAGGACGGGCTGTCAGGAGTGACCACGCTGGCACTGCTGCTGACCGCGAATCTCGGGCTACCTACCTCTTTGAAGCCCCTGTTCTTGATGTTGAGCTTCTTGACATTGACGAAGTCGAACAGCTTGCCATACTCCTCTCTGGAAGACAGAAAGATCACAGGTCATAGCTCACAGGCCCCTGGGTGAAGAGACACTGGCCTTGGCCAGTTGGAAACCACTTCACAACTTGCAACGTGCACTTACACAGCGCTTCCTGAAATAACTTCCACTACTAAACTCAGGAGTTTCAGATTTTTCTATAATTTCTACTTCTATATATACTGTACTATACAGCGATGTCTGGTTAGGCACTGTTTCTATTAGTGCTGATTCTCCCTGCACTGATCAGTCTGGAACTAAGCGGGCTGCAATATCGTTCACTAGTGAATACACAAGTGTTTTTGTATAATGGAGGTTATTAACACAGTGTTTTATACTGGAACCGTGGTCCTGTGAGCTGGCCAGTGCCAGGATCCAGCTCGCACAGCCCTGCCGATGGGCGCAGGGGTCGAGCGAAAAGGACTCTCAGAGTTGGTTCCAGACCCCCGCGTCCAGGGCAGCCTGGGTATTTCGTGACAAGACGCCAGCTCTTTCTCCAGAACTGCAGGCTCTGCCCGAGGGAGAATGAGCCTCCCCAGCCCTCTCTCTTCGGAAACGCGATCCTTCCGAGCGGCGGCGCCCTACCCGCACCCAGAGGTGCCGCCGCCGCCGCTCGGCTTCCTTCTGCCCACGAGCCCTTCTCCCGGAAGGAGCACGCAGCTCTCTCACCTCTCGATGCTGCTGAAGGTGTACTGGGCGGCCTGCTTGGTCTCGATCTCGAAGTCGAAGGAGCGGGTGGTGGTGGTGCCGCGGGCGAAGTTGACGCAGGCGATCTCGTCGAAGCGCAGGTGCACGGGGGGCTTGTGCACGTAGATGAAGCCGCGCTCCAGCGGGTACAGCAGCCCCGAGCTGGCCTTGTAGGAGCAGGTGATGCACTGCGCCCCCGAGTGGCTGTGAGGGGACGGAGGAGAGTCGCCGCAGGTCAGCAGTTTGATCCTGCTTCTTACAGCCAGGATTTTACAAGGCCTTGGAGGAACTGAGTCTCTTTAGAGCTGAACACCAGACTGCGAGGGGACCCGACACATACATTCAAAACCCTCGAAGACCGGGACCAGGTGAAACAAGACCCAGGGAGTATTTAAAACAGAGCAGGGCCCCATTTCCTTACACAAAGGGTAGTGGGAGTGTGGAACAAGCTGCCCAACCCTGTAGTGGAAAACGATTTTCTGGTTTCCTTCATGAAATGGCGGCATGAGATCGCTGGATCAATTACTTACAGTCAAATGGGGCTAGATGGGCTGTGAGTCTGAGTTTGTGTGTCTCATTGTGCTGTTCAACTGTGCAGACTTGACCAGCTGCAACAGGTGACCGCGGAGCAGAGGCCCCCCAATTCACCTCATTAAACTACAGCCTAGATCCTCATCTTTACCAATTCCAACCGGATTCGGACTGCAGAGGAGAGGCGGCGGGGGCTCGGGTCCTCTAGGAAGAGGGATAAGGGCCCGGCCCGCGTGGGGCGGCAGAGCGAGAGAGCAGAGCTCACCCCTGGAAGTTTCCGGGCACGGTGATCTTCCTGTTGACCAGCGCCTTCATCACACGGCTCACCATCTCGTACAGAGAGCCGGACATGTTCTTACTGAGCTTGCCCTCGAAGCGCTTCTCCACGTCCTCCCTGGGAGAGAGGAGAAAGAAATGGATTAAGAACAAGGGAAAGAGAGAAAGAGGTAGAGAGAGGGAGAGGGAAAGAGAGACCAAAGGGGAACTGCAGCCCCCATTTTCTCAGGCCTGTTATTGAATCTCGGTAACAACTGACTCTTGCCAGATTCTACACATTTCAAATTAAGCACAAAATCGTGAAACTCTGTGACAGTACTGTAAGTCGCCATTTTGTCGCAAACCCCTGGTCTCACTCACGGCGAGAGCTCACATGAATTGTGTTGTGAAGCAGCCCTTCCTGCTCACTAGTCACGGTAACGAGATGTACAGGTGGTGCAGCAGACAACTGTTGCCTCGTTGTGAATCTCAGAATATGGCACTGCATACCTGAAAACCTCCTCTATTTTGTGATGTAAAATTGGAGTTTGTACAGATTACTGTGTATATTTGACTTTTATGGTGGTTCGAAACGCTCCCATCACGGCCGATTCTTTCTAACCCCGAAATATACGAACGTAACGGTGTGGGACAGCGCCTCCTCTGCAGGCCGCACTCACTCGCTCATGTTGAGGGTCAGGGAGATGTCCTCCTCCTTGGAGAACAGCAGGATGAGGAAGTGGTAGCGCGTCTGACCCTGCTTGATGGGGGGGTCCAGACTGATCTGTGGGGGGGGGGAGCACAGAGAGACAGGTGTGGCTCACGTCCCCACCTCTAACACACACGTGCGCGGCACGACCCCCCCGGAGCGCCCGGCTCACCACGAAGAACATCTGGCGCTGGTCCTTGTGGGGCAGCAGGAAGAGCCGCAGCACGGTGGTGTAGGGGATCTTGTAGTCGAAGGTCTTGCCGTGCAGGTGCAGGAAGGTGGGGTAGATGCGGATGTCGTAGCGCCCCCTGGGGGTCAGGCACTGCAGCTCCCGGAAGATGCACAGCGCGTCGCCCGTGGCCTGGATCACGTCGGCCTTGGAGAGCACGTTCTGCGCGAAGGCCTGCGAGAGACGGAGAGGCGGGAGAGAGGGGGTGAGGCCGTGGTGGGCGCAGGGAGGCGTCCCAGAGACGAGCGCGCCTCCCTCGCCTGCTGGAGCTGGGGGAGGCGGAGAAGGTGCCCCCTCCCTTCGGCCAGTCACACAACGGCAAAGACAGGGTTGCTCCTGACTTGTGGACAGGACTAGCGGAGTGAAGCCCTTAACGGACCCAGGAGTGGGCATAATGGTTGCACACAGGGCATGTGGAGTGTTTCCCAGGACACATCAATCCTTGAGTTTACTGCAGTAGGTATTCAGGGAAATATGTACATTTGGACTGAGAATTGATTACTAAATAGAAAACAGTACAGATGTGGGGCAAATTGACACTAATAAACTGAAGTCTCTTCAGTCTGAAGGGAGAGTCCCACACTGACAGGCCGAAGGAACTGAGTCTCTTCAGTCTGAAGGGAGAGTCCCACACTGACAGGCCGAAGGAACTGAGTCTCTTCAGTCTGAAGGGAGAGTCCCACACTGACAGGCCGAAGGAACTGAGTCTCTTCAGTCTGAAGGGAGAGTCCCACACTGACAGGCCGAAGGAACTGAGTCTCTTCAGTCTGAAGGGAGAGTCCCACACTGACAGGCCGAAGGAACTGAGTCTCTTCAGTCTGAAGGGAGTGTCCCACACTGACAGGCCGAAGGAACTGAGTCTCTTGAGTCTTGCACAGAGAAGACTATGTGGGGACCTAATGCAAGCATTCAAAATCCTTAAAGACACTTGCAAAGTCAACCCAATGGATTTATTCAGAATCAAAAGTGAAACAAACAAAAATACAAAGGAACCAATGGAAACTATGCAGAAATACTTTTTAAATAGAACACACAAGGAACTGCTGTTTGAAGCCGATAGCCTGATAGCTGAGATCTTGGAATCTGTTAACTACAAAAGACCAAACGGGTCACGTTTATGACCTGTTCTGTGCTCACTAAGAGACCGGAGACAGAGAAGAAAGGAGAGAGACAAACCTCAACAGGGTCCAGCCCGTCATCCGCTGCAGTGGGTGGCACGTAGAAACGGACCTCCATGAGTGAGACCTCGGCATCGTCGTTCTGGTGGAACTCCAGAGTCACCTCATTCTTCCCTGTAGTGCACTGGGACACATTCGACAGGGGGACCTCGAACGCAGGACTGTCACTGACCTCGAATGACAGCAGAGGACCTGAGAGAGAGAGAGGGGGGTTAATACAGTCCAGACACACTGAATGGACACTACAGGACATTAACACTGCACTGAGAGAGAAGGGTTAGTATGATACAAATTCACACACTGAGTATATATTTTTTCATACTTAAACCCTCCTGCATAAGGGTATGAAATTGACAACAGTGATGACACCCTGTCTGTACTTGTCCTGAAGGCGTACCTCCAAACTTGGCTGTACCCCAGTTCCAGCCCTTCACACACAGGTCCTTCTCCATCAGCTCCACCCTGTAATTGTTCTTGAAATACTCCGATATTTTCTCAAAGTCCTGCGGACATAAGAGGGCATGACATCAGCTCAGGGGGGCACCAGGCCCACAGACCTACAAGGACCCCACTGAGAGGCAGGCACCTGGGGGACACGAAGGACCACAATTCCCAACCTGGGACAGCGGACTCGTTCTGATCCAGATGGAGGTGCTCTGCCCGCACCAGTACACTAGCAATCGGGCTTCCTTAGAAATCATCTACCACAAAACTCTCAGAGGTCTCATCCACTTGTAAGTGCACAACAACATCAACTTGTTAGACTGTATGTTGCACTGAACTTGGTCCAAATAGCTCCAGGATTGCTGAACGATGATTTTTGTTTCTCTGAAGAGATCATTCACACGTTCCAGAGCTACATGATGCCGTTGGGAAAAGACTGCAGCTCTATTAAGACGTCTTGTTTCTCAAATAAACATGTGTTCTTTAGATGTTTGATGTTTACGAACATCTACTGTACATCCTAATGTAAAACCCGATAACAGATAGGAAGGAAACTAATGTGTGCATCTTCTCACAGGGCTGTACAATGAGAGAGTGTCCCAATCCTACTGGGAGAGGGAGCAGGGAACTCAGTTGAATTGGCAGCCCAGTATGTGATCTCCTGTCACAGCCTGAGGAACAGTGAACCTGTAGCCCAATAATACTCCATATGTCCATAAGTAAACGTTTTATGATGTGTCTTTATTGTAAACGTCTGTAGATGTTTTGTTTTACGTTAATTGTATTTGTTTTGCTTTGGCAACACTGATTGTACTCATTGGTCATGCAAATAAAGCACCTTGAATTGAACTAAATTGTGCGTCTTCTCACAGGGCTGTACACTGAGAGAGAGACAGTGACCTCACAGTGCAGTAGGAAGTGCACCTCTGTCTCCATTTCTCCCCGCTGGCAGTGGGAGCACAGCCTGTCCTCTCCGGGCAGCCAGGTCTGCCTGTGTCGTCCAGTTTCTATGGCAAGGCTCCTGTCACAGCCTGAGGAACAGTGAGTCTGTCTCCCAATAATGCTCCAGCCGCCTACAGTATATGTCAATATTTTATAATCTGTCTTTGTTGTAAATGTCTGTAGATTTTATTTTACTTCTATTTTTTGTTTAATGTAAATATCATTACTTTCATTTGCTTTGGCAACACTGATTGTACCCATCGGTCATGCTAATAAAGCACCTTGAATTGAATTGACAGTGCGTCTTCTCACAGGGCTGTACACTGAGAGAGAGCGAGAGCGAGAGAGAGAGAGAGAGAGAGAGAGCGAGAGAGAGTGTCTTCAATGAGAGAGGAGGAGGTAGGAGCTACTGACAGGAGGTACTAGAGACACACACTCAGCATAACCCCTGTCATTCTATTGCAGCCAAGACATCTCTCCTAACAGACTCCGCCA